ACCAGGAAGGTACAGCATCACACCCCCCACCCCAGGGGATCTCAGCATTGCCCTGCCAAGGATTAACATCCTTCCCTTTCCCCACTGGTACCAGATGGGGGGGGTGGAGGGTGAAGGAGGGGACAGTAAGCACATGAGCAAAAGAAGTCAAAACGGTGCAGGGGTATATGCTTGACCACAGAGGCCTGTCAGTCTAACCTGTGAGAGGGATCACTGGTCAGGGGGTGGACCCATCAGAAGCCCAGAAAGCTTGGTACGTTGATTGGTTATTTTGAAAAAGCTCCTGATCATAATAAGTCCAGGGAACAAAAAGGAGCTCTCTTGCTTGGTGACCTATGCTAGCTCCATTCGTTTGCGTTCTCTCTCTCTCTCTCTCTCTCTCTCTCTCTCTCTCTCTCTCTCCTCTGCCGCCCCCTGCCACCCCCCCCCCCACACACACACACACACAGATAAATATGACTATGCAGGTCTACAGCAGGCCATGACAGACTGTGTGGGCTCCAAAGGACTAAGCTTTCATATGAAACAGAAACTGTCGACACTGGCCTTGGTTTTGGACTTTCCCATGGCAGATGGAGGGAGATGGGACACTGGGAACCCAGGGGCAGCTTTCTGGAATAGATTTTGCCACACCACAATCTCCCGTGCATGGGTCCCTGGAATGCTTTCCTCATGATCCCGTGGAAGAACCCGATTTCCACCAGCAACGATCTGATTTAGCTCAACAAAAAGTGAGATGAGATTCCCCTGGCATAGAGTGCTATTGAGAACCTGACTGTATAAATAAAAATAGATCTGGCCCGTGCCTTTCTTTGCAAACAGAGAACTGCAATTAAAGCATTAGGAAAGTACTGTTTTCCTTAACGCGTTCACAGCAATTCTACTTCCATACAAAACCATGCTTTCTATCAAGAGCTAAAATTTCACTTTTGCTGCCATTCACTTAAGTTAAAAAAAATCCAGTTAAAGTTCATTTTAAATATATTTTTATTGATTTCAGAGAGGGAGAGAGAGAAACATCAATGACGAGAGAGAATCATTGATAGGCTACCCCGTGGACGCCCCCATTGGGGATCGAGCCCAGAACCCAGGCATGTGCCCTGATTGGAAATCGAACCTGGGACCTTCAGTCCGCAGCCCGACACTCTATCCACTGAGGCAAACCAGCTAGGGCTAAAGTTCATTTTAATAAACATTTACATTCAATAAGTTTCCATATATTTAAGTAGGGCAGGGAGCAAGAGCAAATAAAATATTGGT